TGACTCTACTTCCAAAGGGTTTGTTCAAGAAGCCACAGACTAGCCTTAGCACTAGGAGCTCAGCTTACCCACCAATATGATACTTTATTTTATACTTAATATGAAGTAGACTTGAATTAAGTCCAAAGGGGAATAGAGGGATGGAGCTATAGGGAAGAACAGCTACATTTACTAATCTTATCAGCGACTAAGGGGCGTGGCAGCTCAGCAAAAGAGAGGAACCAAGCCATGGGTTATTGGCATTTATATATCCTCTAGTTGAGAACATCTGGGCCTGCACGAGTGCCTTCCAACCCCAACAATTAAATATTCTTGAATAAAAGCAATGAGGAGTCCTTGTGGCATCTTAGAGACTAACACATTTATTTGGGCATAAGCTTTCGTCGGCTAAAACCCACTTCATCAGATGCATGGAAAATACAGTAGGTAGGTATAAATACACAGCACATGAAAAGATGGGAGTTGCCTTACCAAGTGTGGGGGGGTCAGTGCTAACAAGGCCAATTCAATTAGGGTGGATGTGACCCATTTCCAACAGTTGACAAGAAGGGGTATCAACAGAGGGAAAATTACTTTTTGTAGTGACTTAGCCACTCCCAGTCTTTATTCAGGCCTAATTTGATGGTGTCATGGTTTTGTCCTGTCAGCTGCCCACAAGAACTTGAGCTAAATCAAAAGTAGGGAACTTCAGAGGCAATTCATGCAGGGGAAGGGAACTTTAGTATTGACAGAAGGCTGGAGAGTGGTAGAGATCAGTTACAAAAGAAGGATCCTTCAAAGTAATCAGCTTAAGGAAGAGTCCAGTTAGGAAGAGTTCAAACATATATTTGTAGCCGCTATAGTATTTTCCCATGGTTTCCCCTAAATTCCTGGCTGTGGTTCTATTTAGAACAACATGTTCTAAACATTTATTTTAAATATATAATGAAGCTGCAACAAAAGCATGTATCATCGTGGGGAGATGAGATAACAATAACTAAAATTCTAACCTCTCTTAGAAAACCCAGTCATCCTTCATATCTACAGCTGAAAACATTGAATGGAGAACTCAAGGGACATGTATGCATCCGAAGAAGTGGGCTGTAGTCCACGAAAGCTTATGCTCTAATAAATTTGTTAGTCTCTAAGGTGCCACAAGTACTCCTGTTCTTCTTTTTTCAAGGGACATGATTTCCAATTTCCAAAACAGATACAAAATTCTTAACACATTAAGGAGCCAGACTGTTCCTGCCCCTTGTGCATAGGGGTGGGGAAGATACAAAGAGCGCTCTTCTTTGTGTTAACCTCCCCCATGCAAGGAATTTGCACAGTTGCAGGGACTGCTCCCAGGTGGCACCTCATAGAGCATGAACAAACCCAATATAGAGAAGAAGAGGTGAGACCATCTTCACGAAAGCAGTATATTGTGTATAATTCCACGGCCTTCTATGCAATCCTGTTCCTCAGACACACAATTTGTCCCAATTAATGTTGCATATGCCAACCATATTGTCAGCTTTCTCTGGTTCTCCCCATGAATATCTCCTGAATATTTCCAAGTTTGGGCCTTGTTGCAGAGCAGCTGGAACTGAAGGTCATTGTTGTTCCATTAGTCTTTCCTCTTCCTCTCTATCAATTTAATTAGCATGTTAATCATAATTATTGTGTAGCCTTATATGTAAATTTAAAAATAAACTACTCTGACCACCAACTTATTGCTGCTTGTTATATGAATTCTGGTAAAACCTGCAGCGTACACACACACACACACACACACACACACACACACACACACACACACACACACACACACACACACACACACACACACACACACACACACACACACACACACACACACACGTACGTACACACGCAGTTGACAGTCTTGAAGATCCCATTGAAGTTGGGGCAAAGATCTGAATATAAAATGTTCATACCTGAACAAGGAATGGGTTTCTGAGCAGGAGGATTTTGCTTTGCAATGAAAATGAACACTGGTCTCACTTGAGTTTGGCAAACTGAGAAGGTGCAGGATTAGAGCAGGATGTACAACTTTTTATATCTTTTTGAAAAAAGTGCATATCCAGCTTTTACATGGGGTTTATGTTGGTGCAGCTTCCCCATATTTCCTTTGAGCACTATATGTGGGGTTTGCATAAGTGTAACTACACTGGTATAAGTATTTCTAATGCAGACAGGGCCATATGGTTAAAACTGACTTCTGTGTACAGTAAACTGCTTTAAAATACAAATTAACTGCATAGTGCATTTAAATTTAGGCAATACTTCTCCAAAACGACAGTCATAGTGATATTTCTCAGTACTTTCCTAGAAAGTAGTCAAGACTCTAGTAAAGTCAAATCTCTCTTTTCTTTCTTTCTTTCTTTCTTTCTTTCTTGTGCTTCCTGCACTTCTGAGCTGTTGAATCTAAGTGAATAAATGCTTCAAACTGTC